TTTGAAGCAGATCCCGAAGATTTTGGCCCGATTTGTAACCAAGGATTAGAGACCTGGATTCATCACTTTCAACCAGAAACCAAAATTAATTCAGTCTAAACAATGGAAGCATCCGGAATCACTAGCCCCCCCCCCCCCCCCCCCCCCCCAAAAAAAAAAAAGCCAAGTCGGTCCCTTCTGCTGGAAAGGTGATGGCTTCAGTCTTTTGGGATTCCAAGGGTATTCTGCTGGTTGACTATCTTGAAAAAGGCCAGACTATTAATGGAAGATATTATGCTGACCTACTGAGACAGTTGCGTGAAGCTATCAAAGCTAAGCGACGGGTAATGCTCACTAAAGGATTCCTGTTCCACCAATCGGTGGTTGCCATGTCAGCGATCCATGATTGTGGCTTCGAACTCATTGACCATCCCCCTTATTCACCGGATTTTGGCCCCGTCAGACTTCCACTTGTTTCCAAAAATGAAAAAGGAACTAGCCGGTCGCCATTTTCCTAGTAATGATGACGTCATTTCCGCTGTGAATGACTTTTTTTAGGGTGGCTGAAGAAACCTGGAAGGGGACTATGTGGAGAAATAAATGAAAACCATCGACTTGGTACGGGTCTTTCACAGTTAGGCTTAGAACTTTTCAGCCAAATGTCCCATCAGTTCCACTAATCTCCTCAGTTGTACTAATCCTATCAGTCCCACTACCGGTGATCCCATCAGTCCCACAAATCCCATCAGTCCCACAAATCCCATCAGTCCCACAAATCCCATCAGTCCCACTACCGGTAATCTCATCAGTCGCACTAATCCCATCAGTTCCACTAATCCCATCAATCCCACTAAACCTTTCAGTCGCACTAATCCCATCAGTCCCACGAATCCCATCAGTCCCACTAATCCCCATCAGTCCCACTAATCCCCATCAGTCCCACTAATCCCCATCAGTCCCACTAATCCCATCAGTCCCACAAATCCCATCAGTCGCATGAATCCCATCAGTCCCACTAATCCCATCAGTCCCACAAATCCCATCAGTCCCACAAATCCCATCAGTCGCATGAATCCCATCAGTCGCATGAATCCCATCAGTCGCACTAATCCCATCAGTCGCACTAATCCCCATCAGTCCCACTAATCCAATCAGTCGCACTAATCCCATCAGTTCCACTAATCCAATCAGTCGCACTTATCCCATCAGTTCCACTAATCCCATCAGTCCCACGAATCCCATCAGTCGCATTAATCCCATCAGTCCCACGAATCCCATCAGTCCAACGAATCCCATCAGTCGCATTAATCCCATCAGTCCAACGAATCCCATCAATCCCACAAAACCTTTCAGTCGCACTACTACGATCAGTCGCACTAATCCAAGCAGTCCCACAAATCCTATCAATCTCATCAGTCCCACTAATCCCCTCAGTGCCACTAATCCCCTCAGTCCCACTAATACCATCAGTGCCACTAATCCCATCAGTCCCACTAATCCCATGTCCCTCAAATCCCATCAGTCGCATTAATCCAATCAGTCACTAATCCAATCAGTCCCACAAATCCTATCAATCTCATCAGTCCCACTAATCCCCTCAGTCCCACTAATCCCCTCAGTCCCACTAATCCCCTCAGTCCCACTAATCCCCACAGTCCCACTAATCCCATCAATCCCACTTATCCCGTCAGTCACACAAATCTTATCAGTCCCGTCAGTCACACTAATCCCATTTGTCCATCAGTCCGGCAGTAGAGGATTTAGGATCTCCAGAATACATTCCAGCGGGGCCCGTGAATATCTGAGGTAGAATAGGTCTCCAGCAACCCATGCTTGCCGTAAAAGGCGACTATGCTTGTCGTAAGAGGCGACTAACGGGATAGGGTGCTCATGATGTCAATCAATGGATTGTCTGATCCAGACTCGATTATTTACAGACCGCCGTCATATAGCTGGAATATTGCTGAGTGCGGCGTTAAACAACAAACAACAAAAATGCCTGCGTAATGAAGAGCAAAAGTGAAATATTGAAATTTCCATTCGAACCACGGCAACAAATGCCACTTGTTGACCCCAATTAATTACAAGCTAATTTCCATAAATGATATGCTTAGTCGATTCAGTTTGTTTTGTCAATAATCTCCTCCAAATGTAGCACACGATCCAGAACGCGAGACGCACTTTCGTGTGCTGTATGACACAACTGTTAAATAACATTACTTACCCCATGACCAATGCTGGGTCCAGCCTGGTTCCGTGAGAATGCTGCGCCGGCGCTACACTGGGAACCAGGCTGGACCAGGTTAGGCGTATTTTACGTCCGCCTCATTCACTTTGTTTCACATATTTTCCTCAATGTTTGTAGCGCGGATAGTTGATCTTGATGTGATGGTTCCAGTCGGCTCGTCATAGTCCAGTCGGAACAATCAATATTCGAACAAGTATCATGCACATGACACAATACTACCCAGCAGTAGTAGTCGTGAATTTATTCCCTTGTTAATGGTTTTATGGCGCTTAAGAAACATTCGTAGTGCTCTCTCTAATTTGAACTGTAAAACATCTCATTGCCTCATAAGAGACAACTTTCTCTTGAAAACAAGCCATCATCTGAGTATTTACAATGTCTGTATGATGCTACACCCCCGTTATAGCGCGAGTAATCGCGATCAACATGGCCCTCGAAAACATATGATGTCCGAAAACCTATGATCCGACGATATAATTATGCAAATTGCTTTTCTTTGGTGAAATGGGTTTTTTATTGCACAGATTATTGCACTGTATATATATGTATATATGTGTGTGTGTGTGTGTGTATGAGTGAGGGCTTGTACTAGTCCGGACTGATGCCGATTTATAGTGTTAGTCCACTGAAATAGCATGCAGCAGTTTCACATGGATACTCCACTCAGACACAGTATACAGTGTACGAACTCTGAGCCAACCAGTCCTTAATGCCGAGCACTAGACCAGGTAAAATAAGTACTATCTTTCAACGTCTTTGGGTATCGCACCCCGAACCTTCCGCTCCCCGGGCGGACGCTCTACCACCAGACCACGAAGACGGACCATTTTATACGGACTATATGCAGCGATTGTAGTGAATTCATGTAATGTCACGATTACACTGCTGCCCAATGTAGTATGTAGTTAGGGGAACACGTCTTGGGGATTCGAGTGTGTTGGTTCATCACGTCTTGTCTTGGACTGGATTGTCGATTTGGGTACTGTTCCCATTTTCGTGAAGAAACCGGGACAAACCGATATGGCTCTTCTTATGGAAAACGGCGTAAAACCATATTCACTTCGATGTTAGAGTAAGTCCACATCAACCCATTGCTCGTAGGAGGCGGCAAAGGCGTTAACTGACTATAAAAGTGAAAACAGGACTTTTATAGTCAGTTAACCCCCCTTGCCTCGGGACAGAAAATTCAATAATATAAATGATTTCATTCGATTTATCAAAAAGGACAAGATCAGGTTTGTTGATATGGATACGTCTGAGGCTGTATTCGGGCCTATTCAAAAGAGTATTGTATTTACCCCTCTACATATTCTAGGTCGTACCATGGACTGACCCCTGTGTCAAAACCACAAGCATAGCGAAGACGGTAATAAAATGATCGAGACACTCCATCATGTCGCTAGATACTGTGTTTGTGCTAAAGCTGAGCATCCACTGACAATGTGTTGGGCAGACTCACTAAATTTATTGCATAATCTACATTTCATTTTTACATTTTGATGCAGAATCACACATTGACGGTTTCAAGTGGGAAGTGACTGGTCAGCGACTTTTCAGTCCAGTATAGAGTTTCAGTATTGAGTTTAACGCCACACTCGGCAATATTCCAGCTGTAAGATGGCGGTCTGTATATAATCGAGTCTGGACCAGACAATCTAGTGATTGACATCATGAGCATCGATCTATGGGATCAATTGGGATACGATGACATGCATCAACCAAATCAGCGAGCCTGACCACCCGATCCCGTTAGTCGCCTCTTACACCAAGCATGGGTTGCTGAAGACCCCGGATCGTCAAGAGGAACAACATTTGAAATGTTATACTTATAACGGTATATTTATTATACGGTTTATAGTCCAGAGATTTTCCCCTACTGGTTCAGTGAGAGGATTACAGTTACAACTACGTGTCGAACGTCTCGTGCGATACGTCAAAAATCGATCGGAACTAGGTCACAGAGCGTGGACGAAACTAGGATTATTGATCAAAAATAAATTAAGAATAGCAACCTGAGTGCAGTGTGGAGAACATTTTATTATAACTGTGGTTTTCAACACCCGCAATTTGACCACATCGGCGGCGATTGTTCTTGTTAAAAAATGGTAGTGCGCGCTAAAGATGAGTGAGTGAGTGAGTATGGTTTTACGCCGCTTTTAGCAATATTCCAGCAATATCACAGTGGGGGACACCAGAAATGAGCTTCACACATTGTACCCATGTCGGGAATCGAACCCGGATCTTCGGCGTGACGAGCGAACGCTTTAACCACTAGGCTACCCGACCGCCCCGCGCGCTAATGATGAAATACGGTCATTGTGTAATATGCAACCTTCCCATTATTTGGCGAGTGTTGAGTGATATTGTGGTGTATGCTACCACAACCAATATTTGACTACACCGACGTCTGTCATCTTTATTATTTTAATTGACGGATCTGACGACCAAACATTTCACACTATCGGATTTTATCAAATATAATTCATCAGAGGCGGATCCAGGATTCTTTTTAAAACGTGTGTGGGTGGCGGTGGTTTGAATTTAACCGAGAGCGCAGTTAACAAGTGAGGCGTCTGCAACGCCAATACCAGCGATCACAACAACCGTTTGTTTGAATTTTTATGCATCACAGAACTCCAGATTAATCGATAAGGGAAGGGAGGTAACTCTTGATTTCAATTGCATTCACAAAGAGCAATATTGTTTCATTTAGAACTAAATAACTGTGGAAGGTAAAACACATCAAGTAAGATGTAGATAAATATCCACTCACCGGCAGCCTCCAGAACGTCCTTGTCGATGATGTCACTAATCGTGCAGAACAGTCCGTCCATCCCAGCCACCTGCTCCATGAGAGTAGCCTTTGGAACAACATCGTCGCTGTCCCACACGGAGACTTTACAGCTTTTCTTCAACAGCTCCAAGCCCTCGGTTGGCACTCTACGCGTTACGTATACCTTTGGTTGTGCCATGACAGGCAATTAGGCAATTACCTGGCCGGTGTATTTAACCTTGATCCGTTGAGCTTGACAATTGAAGGTTGAATCAGCTATTCAGAGTATTCCGTAAACAGGAAATAGAGCGAGGCCAGAAGGGAGGTAACTCTTGCGGTTTTGCTACCGACTTTATATATTGCTTGAGCCGCAATAAAATCTAACAATTCTACACCTGGAACTACTACTACTACTACTACTACCGCTGCTGCTACTACTCCATAATTTAGAAGCAATTTGTGCGGATACCGTTGTCAAGCAAGAAACTTCAATAGACCCACATTTACAGTTTGTACAAATATTTGCATAGTCAATATCTTTGTTCTTATATTTTTAAACAACGTAGAGAGATTTCTAAACTTACAGATCACTTGTCGAAAGGAATATTAATAGTTAATAGTTCTAAGGTTCAAACACACTTTAAATGGAAGCATAATCCATGTTTTTTCGTCCGGTAATATAAACGATGTTTGTTTTCTTTATGATCGTATTATATGTTCCTTATGTAGGACTCTTTCGTCACAATACTTTCTCTACCACTACCACCAGTGCCCGCCGAAACAAGACGGGGGTCATTAAATGAGAAAAACAACCAAAAAGATTCCGAAATGTCATTATTCACTCACTCACTCTCACTCAAACAACAACACTGATCACGGAAGCGGGTAACAACATCTCGGCTATCGATCGAATACCGTGTATCTATATATAGATCTTCGTCGCTCAAGCATGTTTCGTGCTGTGGCGCAATAACCACAATTCACAATACGATCATATATCATGGGGTCTGTTACATATACTTGTTCAGGCGGCGTCACACTGTCTAGCTGGCCCTAAACATGTACATATGGATAGGACTGACAATCTTAAGCGTTTGTGCAATCGGAATCAGTTTTGAGGTATAAAAGACCCATCGGACGAAGAGATATTCATTGACGGCGAACAGCAGTTATACCACCCTCAGAGGTTATTTGAACCAAGCCATGGCTATGTCAGCTGCCCCTTCGGGGGCTACCATAAGGTAAACTGTGTTGCTCATATACAAGCGGTAAAAAGTGATTTTGCATATATGTTTGAATTGTTATTTTCATGTGTTTTAACTTTTGAAACAAATAACTCACATTAACAACGGTAACGGGACTCTGTACTTTACAAAGAAAGTGTTATCCCAAATACAACACATCTAACATTTGACCACTTTCTAAGTGGCATTCTATATTCACAATAAATTTTGAGTTTGTGTTTTCTCAATCCAATATGAAATGAGACTATGTTGATTTACTGATACATTGGGTTATTTTTGTTAAACTTTCAAGAAAATGTAGAAACACTCCAACACGCTAGTTATACCGCGTCCTCACTGATAGTACCCGGGAGGTCCGGGGTTGGATCCTCGACCGCGTCATACCTTAAACCGTTAAAAGACTTGTTATCCAGTCTGGCGCTCGGCATTAAGGGGCTAAAACAAGGACTGGTCGGCTCGGAGTCAGTATACTGTGTCTGAGTGGGGTGATCATGTTAAACTGCGGCATGGTATCTCAGTGACCTAGCACTATAAATCGGCATCAGTCCGGACTAGCACAAGCAGCCACACAAACACACACACGTACATGCACGTCGCTAGAATCTTACCTCACCTCTAATAGTACCACGTGCTGTATTTAAATGAAAACAACTAAAGTTTGATTTTTAAATCGATGTCATAAACCTTCACATTTTCTCAGTACGTAATACTTTTGACTTTTAGTTCAACCGTTGCATTATAATGTGTGTGTGATTCCTTTGATTGAGTGAGTGAGTGAGTGAGTTTGGTTTAACGCTGCTTTTAACAGTATTCCAGTTATATCACGGCGTGTCAGCTTAATGTGGGAGGAAAGCCCGAAGTGATGCAGGTCTCGGGCGTTTACCTCTTCGGTGAAACCCACGAGCACGGGTATGGTGCTGACAAACCTAGAAACATAATCGGGGCGAACCGGGATTCGAACCCACAATCATAGGTGCCCAAGGGACGCAACTCTGCACAGCGAATCGCGGCGCCTTAGACGACTGGGCCACCCGTGGCCCCGATTCCATTGATTTATCATTTTAGATGAGAACATATACTTATCCACATCAGATGGAATGTTATCAAGCAGAATCAGGGATTGGGGGCGTTACGCAGAAGACCTTTGTTGAATATAGCTAGAATATAGGCGTAAATACCTTCTCACTGTTTAGGGACATATAGTTGATTTAAGTGTGGCCATCTCTCATCCTTCCGAGTTGCCACCTTTAAGGACTTGGGGGCGGTCGGGTAGCCTAGTGGATAAAGCGTTCGCTCGACACGACGAAGACCGGGGTTCGATTCCCGACATGGGTACAATATGTGAAGCCCATTACTGGTGTCCCTCGCCGTGAATATCGCTAAAAGCAGCGTAAAACCATACTCACTCACTCTTTAACAACTGATGTAATGTCGGTGGTAGACTTCCTCAGTCTTGATTTACGTATTATACTTTTTTTTCAGAAAAAGTTGTAGTTCTTTTTGTTCTGCTTAAAGGTCTTTTCTTCACCCTCGGATATGTCCTACTATCACTAAATAGGGGTGGTGGATACTATCACACCAAAAGCCCGGGTTCGATTCCTAACATGGATACAGTATGTGAAGGCATTTCTTGGTTTGCTCAAAGCCATATCTCATATTGCTAAAAGCTTGATTAAAATACTCACGGACCAATATATATTAGCGTTTTTAACACTGATTTCATTGGAAACAACTTTGAGATATTTTAGGTTGATGCTTATATCCCTTTATACCTCCCCAAACTGCCTATAATACTTAATCTAACACATGTGAAGAGTGTGAGACTGGCCAGGTCCCCAGTATAGGTTATCGTTATTGTAAGGGTTGAGAGGAGGAGCGGGCATAATTTTGCCCTGTCCCGACTGATTGTTATTGATTCCTTCGTCGTGGATCGTTTGTTCATGTTATCAACCTCTGGTTTGACGGATTAATTATTTACAGGTCGCCGTGATATAGCTGAAGTAAGGCGTAAAATAACATTCATGCAATTACTCATCTGAAATCCACTTTACATGTTCAATAGGTCTTCATCTCAATCTGCTAAGGAAACAGTTCCCCGTATTTCTTTTTTTAAAGTTTGGAATCTTATTTGTGTTTTCCGAACCGAAAGTCCTACCCGAACTGCTTATAACTTTGTTATTAAGGTTGCTAGAGGCACAGTTGTACCACATTGATCATGTGTTTTCCTCAGTCGGAAGTGATGTTATTAAAATTAAAGTGATTTGTTGGAGAAATTTGACGGAGCTGCAATTGAAAAACAACTGGGATCAAAGCTTAATAAAGACAGATATTTCTAAGTCAACTGTAACCTGATTTATTTAAAATTCAAAATGATTTATGATCATCCTGGAGGCAAAGTTTTTGGGGAAAGTGGGACTTTTAGGAAAAGGTTGGCCATAAATTATACAAACATTTTAGTTGAATACATACATTAACTACGTTTTTAACGAACACGCTTATAACGAACCGACCGATATAACGAACCCGGGCATTTGTTGCATATATGCTGTATATAAGCTCATAACGAACTACGGTTATTACGAACTAAAAATTGTGGTCCCCTTGAGTTCGTTATAACCGTAGTTTACTGTATTGCTCATTTGTCGTTTTATGTTATGACAGTTGAGTAATTAAGTTGTATTCATTTATATATTTTCTTTTTTCTTTTTAGCCAATTATCCAGAAATGAACTTGAAAGCAATGGCTATTGCGTCATAAATGACGTCATCGATCAAGCAGAATGTGATCAACTAATTAGCCAATACAAAAGTTGGTTGGAAAAATTTGAAGCCCCCGATTGGCCAAATCACCGACGCTCTATTATATATCAATATCGGATTGGTCACTTTGAAGCCACGTGGTCTGCCAGGTTAAAGGTGAAACCAGTGTTTTCTTCGTTGTGGAAGACCGACAAGTTGCTGACCAGTTTTGATGGCGTGGCCGTCTCACGTCCCCCAGAAGAAACTGACAAGGTGTACGATTCTGGTCAGAACTGGTTCCACGTAGACCAGAAGGTGTCACGTGAGGGCCTCCACTGTTACCAGGGGGCGCTATACTTAGAAGAATCTACCGAAAATGACTTCTGTTTCCGGGTACTGAAAGATTCGCACAAGTACCACAGTGCTTTTTTCGATCATTACAAACCAGCCCGAGCAAAGAGCCTCAGGAGCGAATTCTACAAACTGACAACGAATCAAGTCAGTTGGTACAGAAAAAAGAAATGCAAAGAAGTGAAAGTAGCAGTACCAAAGGGAGGCATGGTGTTGTGGGACTCTAGGCTTATTCATGACAACGTCCCGCCAGTGGTCAACAGGCCAAATGCAGATAGATGGCGCTTCGTGGTCTTCGTTTCCATGACACCTGCTATCTGGGCAGCCCCAGGGGACATTGCGCTGAAGCAGAAGGCATACAAGGAACTGTCGATGACCAATCACTGGCCATCACAATCTCTCGAAATTGTTGAAAGCGTAAAGGCGCCGTCCCACAGTGGCCAACATATGTACTGTGTCAATTATATGCCGGAAGTGGCCAAATCAGAGGAAGCGATGCGATTGGCTGGAGTTTTGGACTACGATTTTGAAAATGGCCAATCAAATGGTCCCAAATTGAAACCTGTATGGAACCCGCCTCGTGATTAAAGAGTGGTTATAGTGTTCGCTCGTTGATGGCGGGGTTCGATTCTCCACATGGGTACAATGTGTGAAGCTCTTTACTGATGTCCCCCGCCGTGATATTGTTGAAATATTGCCAAAAGCTGCGTAAAACCAAACTCACTATATTACAGAATAATATGTTAGGACCGACCTGACTGGGCAATAGTTACGCTGCACTGCCACCATGCAGAATGTTGCACATATTATAACGACATCGTTTACAACGGACGCCCACTCTACACAAAATTCGAGATGTCGTTGTTGCCACAATTACTACAGAGTTACTAAATATGACCCTATTTTGCCATTTATTTGTCTCCGCCATGAGGTATGAATCGTCGAATGTTCTAAAATAAATAGTTTGTGTGAATGTTTATGTAATTATTTTTTTAATAACTGCATTTTCGTGAAATAGAATTATTATTCGATTCCAACAAATCAAATGGATGCTCCCTAAGCAATATTTGAAACCCAGATAAGAACATGTTTTGTCGTTACCATTCTCAATCATGTAATATTCCCAATAAAATGTCCACATACATTATTTGTCTTATCTACTCTTTGTTTTACTATGTATTAGGGTGTCGACGGTGGGACAGGAACCTCTCGCCTTTTTTGTGAACACATGGAATGATCCCTATGTCATAAACACATGCTAATGGTATAGTTGGAATTGTACAATGGACATTTTCAATATTATGGATTGTCTTTTAAGCTATGTTTTACCATATCTAATATCAATACTACTATGACTACTACTACTATTAATACTACGTCTGCTACCACTACCGCCACTACTACTACCACTACAACTACTATGACTGCTTCTACTATGACTATTACTACCACGACCACTACCGTTACTACTAAAACCACTATCACTACCACTATCATTACTACAACTACTACTACTACCGCTACTACTTTTGCTACTACTACTACAGCTACTATTACCACTACTACCACTATGACTACTGCTACCACTCCAACTACCACTACCATTATTACTACCTTTACTACTACCACTATGACTACTACTACTACTACCAATGCTACGACTGCTACCACTAGCACTACCGCCACTACTTCTATGACTATTGCTACCACGACCACTACCGTTACTACTACAACCACTACCACCACCACTACTACTATCACTGCTACTACTACTTCCGATACTACTTTTGTTACTACTACTACAGCTACTATTACCACTACTTCTACTACTACCACTATGACTACTGCTACCACTACCCTTTACTACTACCACTACTACTACTTCTACCACGTCTACTACTACCACTACTACTACTACCACTACTACTACTATGACTATTCCTACTACTACCACTACCGCTACTACTTTTGCTTCTACTACTACAGCTACTACTTTTGCTTCTACTACTACAGCTACTATTACCACTATTACCACTACTTCTACTACTACCACTACTATGACTACTACTACGACTACTACTACAAGGACTACTACTACTACCTTTACTGCTACCACCTTTACTACATACTACTACCTTTACTACTACTACGACTACTACTACCTTTACGACTACTACTACCTTTACTACTACTACTACTACTACTACCTTTACTACTACCTTTAATATCAACTACGACTACTACCTTTACTACTACCACCTTTACTACATACTACTACTACTACCTTTACTACTACTATGACTACGACTACTACTACTACCTTTTCTACTACTACTACTACGACTACTACCTTTACCACTACTACTACGACGACTACTACCTTACTACTACTACTACGACGACTACTACCTTTACTACTTCTACGACTACTACTACCTTTACTACTACCTTTACAACTACGACTACTTCCTTTACTACTACTTCTACGACTACGACTACTACTACCTTTACTACTACGACTTCGACAACTACCACCACTACTACCGCTGCTGCTGCTCCCGCCGCTGCTGCTACTACTACTGCTGCTGCTGCTGCTACTGCTGCTACTACTACTACTACTACTACTACTACCTTTACTACTACTATGACTGCTACTACTGCTGCTACTACTACTACCACCACTACTTTTACCGCTACAACTACCACTGCTACTTCTACTACCACCACCACCACTACTACTTCTACTACCAGTACTACTACTACTACTAACGCTACTACTATTACCGCTACTACTATTACCACTACTACTACTACCGCTACCACCACTACTACTACTACTACTACTACCGCTACAACGTGCCTAATTAATATCAGCAAATAGTTCTGCAAGTCTCTAGGCACTGTACTGTACCAAATTGATATCAGCGGATAGCTCAGGAAGTCGTGAGACCCTGTACTGTACAATGTTAATATCAGCAAATAGTTCCGCAAGTCGTGAGGCACTGAACTGTGCCACATTTATATAAGCGCATAGTTCAACAAGTCGTGAGGCACTGTACTGTACCAAATTGATATCAGTGTATAGTTTAGCAAGTCGTGAGGCACTGTACTGTACAACATAAATATCAGCGAAGAGTTCCGCAAGTACTGAGGCGCTGTACTGTGCAACATTGATATCAGCAAATAGTTCCGCAAGTCTCTAGGCACTGTACTGTGCCACATTAATATTAGTGAATAGTTCAACAAGTCATGACGCACTGTACTGTACAACATCAATTTTAGCGAATAGTTTCGCAAGTCGTGAGGCACTGTACTGTACCACATAGATATCAGCGAATAGTTCCGCAAGTGGTGAGCCACAGTACTGTACCACATTAATATCAGCGAATAGTTCCGCAAGTCGTGAGGCACTGTACTGTACCACATTAATATCAGCGAATAGTTTCGCAACTCATAAGGCACTATACTGTACCACATTAATATCAGCGAATAGTTCCGCAAGTCGTGAGGCACTGTACTGTACCACATTAATATCAGCGAATAGTTCCGCAAGTTGTGAGGCACTGTACTGTACAACATTAATATCAGAGAATAGCTCCGCAAGTCTTGAGCCACAGTACTGTACCACTTTTATTTCAGTGAATAGTTCCGCAGGTCGTGAGGCACTGTACTGCGCCACATTAACATTAGCGTACAGTTCAACAAGTCGTGAGGCACTGTACTGTACAACATTAATATCAGCAAATAGTTCGGCAGGTTGTTGAGGCACTGTACTGTGCCACATTGATATCAGCGAATAGTTCCGAAAGTCTCTAGGCACTGTACTGTGCCACATTGACATTAGCGAATAGTTCAACAAGTCATGAGCCACTGTACTGTACCACATTGATATCAGCAAATAGTTCCGCAAGTCGTGAGGCACTGTACTGTACAATGTTAATATCAGCGAATAGTTCTGCAAGTCCAGAGGCACTGTACTATGCCACATTGATATCAGCGAATAGTTCCACAGGTCGTGAGGCACTGTACTGCACAACATTAGTATTAGCAAATAGTTCCGCAAGTCTCTAGGCACTGTACCGTAGCACATTAATATCATCGACTAGTTCCGCAAGTCTCTAGGCACTGTACTGTGCCACAACGACATTAGCGTATAGTTCAACAAGTCTCGAGGCACTGTACTGTGCCACATTGACATTGGGGTATAGTTCAACAAGTCTCTAGGCACTGTACTGTACCACATTAATATCAGCGAATAGTTCCGCAAGTCGTGAGGCACTGTACTGTACAATGTTAATATCAGCGAATAGTTCAGCAAGTCCAGAGGCACTGTACTATGCCACATTGATATCATGTTCTGTGCCACATTTATATTAGCGATAGTTCAACAAGTCGTGAGGCACTGTACTGTACAACATTAATATCAACGAATAGTTCCGCAGGTCGTGAGGCACTGTACTGTGCCACATTGATATCAGCGAATAGTTTCGCAAGTCTCTAGGCACTGTACTGTGCCACATTAGTATTAGCGTATAGTTCAACAAGTCATGATGCACTGTACTGCACAACATTAGTATAAGCGAATAGTTCCGCAAGTCGTGAGGCACTGTACCGTAGCACATTAATATCATCGACTAGTTCCGCAAGTCTCGAGGCACTGTACTGTACCACATTGATATCAGCAAATACTTTTGCAAGTCGTAAAGCACTGTACTGTACCAAATTGATGTCAGCTTATAGTTCCGCAAGACTCTAGGCACTGTAGTGTGCCACATTTACATATTAGAGTATAGTTCAACAAGTCGTGAGGCACTGTACTGTACCACATTAATATCAGCGAATAGTTCCGCAAGTCTCTAGGCACTGTACTGTGCCACAATGATATTAGCACATAGTTCAACAAGTCTCGAGGCACTGTACTGTGCCACATTGACATTGGGGTATAGTTCAACAAGTCTCTAGGCACTGTACTGTACCACATTAATATCAGCGAATAGTTCCGCAAGTCGTGAGGCACTGAACTGTGCAACATTTATATTAGCGCATAGTTCAACAAGTCGTGAGGCACTGTACTGTACAACATCTATATCAGCGAATAGTTCCGCAGGTCATGAGGCACTGTACTGTGCCACATTGATATCAGCGAATAGTTTCGCAAGTCTCTCGGCACTGTACTTTGCCACATTAATATTAGCGTATAGTTGAACAAGTCATGACGCACTGTACTGTACAACATTAGTATCAGCGAATAGTTCCGCAAGTTGTGAGGCACTGTACCGTAGCACATTAATATCAGCCTATAGTTCCGCAAGTCTGAGGCACTGTACTGTGCCACATTGACATTGGGGTAAAGTTCAAGTAGTCGTGATGCACTGTACTGTACCACATTAATGTCAGCGAATAGTTCCGCAAGTCTCTAGGCACTGTACTGTGCCACATTAATATTAGCGTATAGTTGAACAAGTCATGACGCACTGTACTGTACAACATTAGTATCAGCGAATAGTTCCGCAAGTTGTGAGGCACTGTACCGTAGCACATTAATATCAGCCTATAGTTCCGTAAGTCTGAGGCACTGTACTGTGCCACATTGACATTGGGGTAAAGTTCAAGTAGTCGTGATGCACTGTACTGTACCACATTAATGTCAGCGAATAGTTCCGCAAGTCGTGAGGCACTGTACTCTGCCACATTGACATTAGTGTATAGTTCAACAAGTCGTGAGACACTGTACTGTACCACATTGATGTCAGCGTATAGTTTCGCAAGTCTCTAGGCACTGTACTGTGCCCCAATGACATTAGCGTATAGTTCCGCAAGTCGTGAGGCACTGTACTGTACCACATTAATATCAGCGAATAGTTCCGCAAGTTGTGAGGCATTACTGTACCACATTTATATAGCCGTATAGTTCCGCAAGTCGTGAGGCACTGAACTGTGGAACATTAATATTAGCGCATAGTTCAACAAGTCGTGAGGCACTGTACTGTACAACATTTATATCAGCGAATAGTTCCGCAGGTTGTGAGGCACTGTACTGTGCCACATTGATATCAGCGAATAGTTCCGCAAGTCTAGGCACTGTACTCTGCCACATTGACATTAGTGTATAGTTCAACAAGTCGTGAGACACTTTACTGTACCACA